GCTGGAGATATCGTACGAGACGCATTCATTTTGTGAACTGCAATAAGTTTGACTCTAAATTTGAACCCGAACCTAGTAATGATCGGAGCCAATGTCTGTACCCCTGCAAGTATTACGTCAAGTAGAGAGTGGCTCCACTTGGTAGAAGTACAGACATGTTCATTGTTCGATCTGATTTACTGTGCGGCCATCTGGAGACTTCCAACTTCCTTTATAAATATCACGATGCTGGAAAAGGGCCCCACCGATTGTCAACCGATGTACTGCACAGAAATCTAATAGTCGAAGGCCGTTGTCATTTGATGAAACGTGAAGGGAATGCTTACCAATCACACCGGACCAAGCTTTATCTTAGCCAATGCGAGCATTTAGATCTCAGAGTAAAAACTTCACGTCATCTTTTACCCCGACTGCTGCATCCTCTGTTTGGGCATAAGCTATAACAATAGAAATGTTGATATGTCGACTGTGCAGCCTCGCTGCAAGAATACGTTCTGATATCGGAGTGTATGAAACCAATGAATTTTTCGGCTTCTTCGAGAGGACTAAACCTACCCCTTGCCGTCTGTATCCATCACTTATGGACATAAATGATTATTATTAGTCAGTAGCTCAGCTAGTAGCCGATAGGGTAGGCGGGTACTCATTCATCACATGACACCTGCAATAAATTGCTCATTGCCCACCTCATTTACATTTTAAACACATCAAAGCTCAGCATTAGACAGGACCCTTCACTTAGGTATAAATAGCAAGACAACAGCTTAAAAACGAAAAAGATATGAGACAGTTTGTAAACAACTTCATGCGGCTGCCACACCCTACTCAAATAAACTAGAGACTTGAAACATTTTTAACGGACTCGGGAGGTCATACCCTGTAAACGATAAATTACGTTCTTTAACTGTTCTTGAGTTGTTAACACTGATCACGTGGTTGCTTTTTTTATTGGAACATATGTAAATTATTCATCTGTTGATAGTCAAGTATTAGTATCCAGTACTGTAAATTAATATACGAAGGAAGTTAAAATAGTTTAGATGCATCATTAAAAGCACTTTTAACATTGAGTATTTCAGGAGCAGCAGCAATCTACAACTACCATTTCGTTGACACCAACTCCTACAACATGATCCCTGACACATTTGACTTCGGACTTCTTGATGTTAACGGAGGAACAGTTGACGACACGTACATAAATGTTGCCACAAAGACCTGGATGTGCCGGATGTTAGGCTACCAGTCCTACAGCTCCTCCGCTGCTCCTCCACTGTACGAATGGCAACAGAACTACCCTATCAGGTATTCTCAACTAGAATGTACAGGCAGTGTAGTTCCACAGTGTCGTTACCAGGCAGCAAATAAATTTGGTTACCGCGACTCTCTCTGGCTGAGATGCAACGCTCGGACACAGCTTGGAGACTCCACCTCATTCTACCTCGTGGACAAAGACAAACAGCACACTCAAAAAGGACACGGTCTTCTCATGTACAACAGAGGGACGGTAAGTGGCAACAAGTTTGATAAAACAACCGCGGAGTTGATTTGTCGTATCATGGGGTACGACAAAGTCATGAGCTGGAGCATTGGTAGGAAATACCAATTTCAAGAAAGTCTAACAATCATCTATAACGACTTAAATTGTTTGGAAAGTGAGGACGTGTTTCCTCTGTGTGTCTAAGAAACAGACACCACCGGAGAAACTCACGACAACGACGTCTGGTTATGGTGTGCTCTCCCAAAATATAACAACTACAAGCTCGTTTGCCCTCCTGGACACAAATGTCCAGGCAGAAACACGTGCGAACAATGCTCAGCCAACACCTACTCCCCCGAACCTAGTGATGCGTCTTCCTGTCTCTCCTGTCCTACCAATTCCACTTCCCTCGCCGGATCTACCTACTGCTCCTGCAATGATGACACCTACATGAGTCCTGACGGAGATGAATGTCTGGAATGCCCGGAAAATTCTACCTCAATAAAAGGATCAGCACACTGCACCTGTGTCGCTGGCACATACCTCTACTCTGACCTCAGCAGCTGTGTGCGATGTTCAAGTGGTACAGTCAGCAAGGAAGGAGGAACGGCCCCGAGTGACTGTGTGAGTTGTCTTGCAGGATCAGTGCCAATCAACAATGGAAAAGTTTGCAGCTGTGAGAAGGGGTATGGATGGGAATGGAACTCTAGCGGGGATGGATCCTGTAAAGTCTGTCCTGCAAACTTCTTCAAAGACAAACAGCAAGGTACTTGCATGAGATGTCCTCACGAAGCCACCTCCCTCCCTCTCTCTGAAGAGTGTCACTGTCCAAGTGGACTATCTTGGGATGGAGATTGCTGTGTGAACTGCACTACTCCGGGTAGCAGTAGTGGAGTGTGTTACTGCTCAGCTGGAACATACTGGAGTGGGGACAGTAGCCGGTGTGAACCCTGTCCTGCAAACCACTTCAGTGAACAGTTCTTCTCTGTCTGCTCAAAGTGCCCTATCTTCACAGTATCTGAGTCCCAATCTTATGAGTGCTCTTCTTGTCCTAAAGGATACTCCTGGGAGAACCATGCCTGTACTGAATGTCCAGAAAATCACGTTGGAAACGGGGCTACTTGTAGCATCCGTCCAGAAGGAACTTCACCGTCCAAAGATAAAACCATCTGCCAAAAGTCTGCTGTTGACATTCTGTCAGTGGTGAGCTTAGTGCTTTGCATACTGATCCTCGCCATGGTGGTAGGAATCATTCTTTACATCTGGAAGGAAAGACGAGCAAGGATCATGATGGAAGATATTCAGATGGCGTACCAAGCTGAGCCCTCGACGAGTCAAAAGAAATGTGGAAATTCCAGTGAAGTTGCCAAACCTACCCTCCCAGAAAGAGGACACACCTTGCATCAGGATGATTTGTATGCCAACTTCAGCTAGGTATTGAGGTATAATGGAATGGGAAGGATTCATTTAACAAGTGATACTCGTAAAATATTTGTTCCAAATTGCTAAAGAGGGATTGTCGTCGAGAAAGGCACTTAAAAGACCAATCCAGAGCCTTCTGCCTTCAGAATGTTCTTTTCACAGCAGACCATCAAGTTTTACACCATACCAGATAGAAACAGAATCCTTAGCAAACTGGGCCCAGCCCAAAACGGACCAAATCAGACTGATCGATGCAGATGCCATGCTGGTCACGTCTGTTACTTGTATTTAAAGATAATCAGAGACAGATTAAAGATAATCAGATTAAAGATTATCAGAGACAGACTGCAGACAATGCTATGCAGACCCACATATTATTACTATAATATTGTAGTTATTACTATAATATTGTAGTATAATGACGCTTTGCGTATAGCTGCTTTCCCATTTCTAATAATGCATTTTATCCTAGAGTATAACTTTTAATATGATAAACTAATCAATATTAACCAAACACTAAAAGGTTTTTGATGAAAATAGTTGAAAACTTGTTTCAGTTAAAACTAAATTAAAGGCCGGACAGGGATTTGAACCCTCAGCTACCACGGCCAATCGCCTGCTTAGCGAACTAGGCTATCCTGTTGGAGGTCAAATATCAATATTAACTACCATATTGTAGACCTTGCGCACTGCCTTCGACAATGTACATTTTTAGCCGGTTTGGGGCCATTGCGCGGCACGGAAGCTTTAAACCTTCATAACTCTGTCCAGGAACAACCCCAAGAACTGATTAAACTTGTGATGTCCGAGTCAGAGCATGTACTGACTCGGTAAATATAAGATATATAATTTGTCATACCTGCGTCCACACAGGAGCATCGAGCAAATGGGTATAGTCGCGAGTGAACAGAGCACGCAGGGAAAACCATAATAACCAAAGTCACGTGAAATTTTTAGCATTTAGGCGAGCGAATTAGTAATTAAGCTTTTTAACGGGTGATACTCGTAAAATATTTCTTCCAAATATTATCAATATCAAGACCGTCGACGAGTCCAACTCGGCGCGCGTCTTGGTAGGTTATATAATAATAAATATAAATCTACAATAATTTTACGTAAAAATAAAACAATAGCGTTCGCGTTTTTGGATTTGTAGTTATCTTTCAAAAGTATTCCACTTCCAGTTGTTTTTGTAAGGCACAGGTTATATTTCCACCGAAATGCGATAAAGCACACTCCCCAAATTGTGCGCATTGCAGTAAGTGTAACTTCTTTCAAACTCCATGAATCGAGATCAATTTTTATTATTTATTTATATAAACCACTGGGAATACTTTTGAAAGAGAATAAAAAGCACAAAAACTTTATTATCTTATTTCTCCCTTAAAAGCACAATAGTGTAAGTAGCTTTTGTCGAGGTGCTTCGAAAATGATCTTAAACGATTCTCCGTTCAATTTTGGTCGGATCACGTCAACTTATTACAATTACATGGGGACCCCAGGCTGTAATGTTCATAAACCTAATCCGCCGAATAGAGATTCGGTTGACCATTGTTAATGATCTGGCCCGGCGCGTGCTACTTCGTAGCTCGTGCCGTCGGGCCATTTCGAGAAGAAAGCGGCGCGCGCTACTTCGAAGAAATTTAGACGAGTAACATCCGTCAAGCTACTTCGAAGAAATTTAGACGAGTAACATCCGTCAAAGATTCGGCAGAATGACAAATTGGATGTGCTTTTGGTGAAGATATACTTATAGCATCACAGTCACAGTCACATAATACTAATAGTCGAGTGTAGATTGATTAATCATCATCCCCCAGCTCACCTTACCTTAACAAAGTTTCTACATAGTACTTGATACTTAACGAGATCGTATAGCAAGGCTGTGTTGTCAATTTTCAGTTGCTAAGAGATTAATCACATATTATCGTGATACATGTTTGGCAATTCATGATCACGAGGAGTCTTGTCATACGTTGTATGACCCGCCGCGCACGAAGTGCGCGGCTCCCCCTGTAGCGTCGAAGACGCTACTATAGTGAAACGACCGTGGGGGTCACCATGTGATACAAGAGGAGTCCGGGAAGATTAACTATGTTTTGCAAAAATAGATCATGATCAAGAATTTACTATAGTATTTTAAAAAAATCAATCCTCGGTAAATAATGACTAAATCCCTAAATGAACAAGGGCAAGACATTTTTATAAAATTAATCTTTCATTATTAAGCTGTTCTGATAAATGCAAATTATCATTAACACTAACAGTAAAAAAGGTAGTTCATATAATATAAGCATGATAAACCTGTTGCACTCTCAAAAGCGTGAGCACTGAGCTTCATTATTGTGCTGTAAAAGTAAATGTCGATGAGAAAAAAACTTTGCTACAATGCAGGCAAGCAAGTGTAACCGCTGGAACTCTCTCAAAGTAATCATTGCAGACGAAACAAGCATAAGTTAACCCCTTTATGAATTTGAGTTTGTGATTGCAGACTTCGTTCAGTTCGGGTAGTGTATTCAAACTGGACGGCGGTGGAGGAAGAGCTTCTTTGGGACTCTGTTCCTCGCGCCGAATCGCATTGATCATGATTCTAGGTTTTTCAGTTCGGGGTTTGGAGGCGGATCATCTCGAGTCATCGCTTTAGGTAAATTTTCCTTAAAGAAGTTGTCTTTATTTTGAGAGGGCGTTGCTTCCTCTTTTATTCGGACCACATGGTTCATTCCAGGAGAGTTAACAGTAGAATTTTCAGTATTATCAAATCTATAAGTTACCCAATCAGTGGTCACCACACCATCCGATACATGAAGTGAGCTGGAAGCAGTAATTTGAGGGGTAAGAATGTCGCTGAAAACAGATTGTTTGTCGATGTTTTTATTGTTGACATCATTGTTGTTGAGATGAGCTAAGGAGCAATGTCCTCCGTAAGACACCTTTCTAGAGTAATCATGACCGGGTGATGGGGTTGGTGATTTAATTGCGTTTGCTGAGTTAGACCGCATATCCTGGCTGTCTAGGACAGATGTCTGTAATATTTCGTTTCCAAACGGGTCTATTATCTGGTATGCTTCTGATTGTAGCATAACCGGCAAGTTGAGGTCGTGTAAAACTTCCGGAAGGTAATTTACCTGAAGAAGCAAAGTTAGACTTTCGATTGTGATATACTGGTACCAAAGAGATGGTAGATAGTTAGGTAGTTGAGTTATCGATCATATTAAATGTAATACGCGCGCGCGTCTGACGCATGGTTTAAATGCGCGGACGTTAATCAAAAATAATCAATCGCGTGTTCCGTAATGCGCGGAACAAATGGGATGCATCCGGATGCAGAGGGTGTTATCTCGGTTTTTTGGCACGGCCCCCATCTGGCCATCTTGTTATTCTCCTACTATCGAACTATTGCCAGTTTCATTCTACCTTATTTTACCTTATTCTGACTTAAGCTATTAAAACTTGAGAATGGAGCAAGTAATTAGCCGTGTTAATAATTAATTAGTAATTAGTAAAAACTCTAAAACTTCTTAAGATAGTTTACTTTACGATGTGATATTATTGGTTTACCTTCATATCAACTTCTGTAATCATTTTATACAAAACACACACACACTGAACCAAGCAAGTGTATCACAAATGGGGGTTTTCCACAAATATTGAGAATACATCGCCTCATCAAACTCCTTTGAGAGTGAACCCTCCTTTGAGAGTGAACTCTCACGAAGATAAAAAGGCCCCACATACAAACCTTATCCACGCACTCAGCAGAAGGTTGCGCTGACCAATGAGCTCGCTTCCCCAGAACCCACATCAAATTAATTTGTATAAATTTACCATTTTATGTTAAAACTTAAACGGCTGAGGACCATTGAGACACAGAAAATCCGAAAAGACGGACAGTTATTCGGCATGCACTGTATTTCGAAAGCGGTGATCTGTGGCGAATTTTAGGTGTCAAATTACAGTACGTGTCGACTGTTGAGTTACAGTATGCGAATCACACGAGAATTGTAACTTTTCGTTCTAAGGGTCCGAGAAGACGGACAGTTATTTGGCATGCACTGTATTTCGAATGAAGTGATCTGTGGAAAACTTAAGGTGTCAATTTACAGTACGCGTTGAGTTAAAGTATGAGAATCACATGGGAATTGCAACTTTCGTTCTAAGGGCTCTTAAGGCTAAGCTATGTATAATGGGCCAATGTTAAATATTCAGAATTGTTAAGATAATGGGCCAATGTAAAACATTGAGAATTGTTAAGAAAGAAAGAAATTCTTGAAATTGTTAACTATAAAACTTACTTTGTCTTGGGAGTCGTTCTGGTGTGAAATTTTTGATCCTTTCTCGAGTTCTGTCATTTTACTGAAAGAAAGGTACAATTGTTATATGTTATATGTTATATGTTATATGTTATATGTTATATGTTATATGTTATATGTTATATGTTATATGTTATATGTTATATGTTATATGTTATATGTTATATGTTATATGTTATATGTTATATGTTATATGTTATATGTTATATGTTATATGTTATATGTTATATGTTATATGTTATATGTTATATGTTATATGTTATATGTTATATGTTATATGTTATATGTTATATGTTATATGTTATATGTTATATGTTATATGTTATATGTTATATGTTATATGTTATAATATGTTATATGTTATATGTTATATGTTATATGTTATATGTTATATGTTATATATGACTGAACTTCGGGCAACATTGTCCTTTTTCTGTTGAAGTTACCAAAATCGAATCAGATTGAGTATCCAAGTTCAAATGCAGTAACATAAACGGACAACACTAATCATACTGAACCAAATCAGGATATAAAAGAAGCACTCTTGTAGTGCATATCATTTGCTATTCAAAATGCAATAAGTCTTAGAATATCATCCAATTTGCCGCTAGATTAGACATTGTGACTAGTAAAACTACTAGTTACTAAAATCTTCCAATAAACAGCAAAACATTACAGAAACGCAATGTAGCTACGAACGGTTAAGGCACGGTTAACGCACAGTTAAGGCACGGTTAAGGCACGGTTAAGGCACGGTTAAGGCACAAGGGTTACATAAGGCACGGTTGAGGCACGGTCACTTAAGGCACGGTTAACGCACGGTTAAGGCACAAACTGCCCATAAGCAACCATTATGATCGCTTAAGGCACGGTTAACGCAGCGCACGGTTAAAAAAATTGGCCAAGGAATAATAATGTTAGTGCCCAAAATGTGGACCCCCAAGTGGTGTCAAAAACGCGAATTAAATAGGTAATAATTATTTTAGTCTCTTGAGACTTGAGACTTGTCTATGAGCTTTTAAAATTTCTAATGTTATGAAACTTTAACCATGTCTTAACAATACAAAAAAAAAATGCGTGGAATCTATCAAAGGGACCATCTATCAAAGGGTCCATCCACATTATTCAATATGCATGTGATCGTAAGAATCAACCGTATATAAGCTTTGTAAAAGTAATGAGCCTACTTATAACTGATACTAACTGATAACAATGAAAGAACTTACTAGCACATGATAAAGTAAATATCGCGAAAATTAAAAATAACGCATCCTTCTTGAAAAAGCATGCGAGCATTAGTAATAGCACACGGGGTTCCTAAAGGCTCCATTCTTGGTCCGATATTGTTCATTATTTACATAAACGACCTTCCAAATGTCATTGATATAACTTTTTTCGCAGATGACTTGAATATCATCGTTTCTGTGGACACGTACACTGAACTGAACATGCGTGCAAATAGTATTTTAATTAAAAACGTGGGTTATAAACAACGGTCTTTAACTTAATGTAGGAAAAATCAAATGTATGATATTCACTAACACAGATCACCACAAGATATAAATATTAGCATTTTAAGACAGCGATTAGTGAACAGTGATAAAAACGATTTTTAGGTGTCATAATTGACCAAGAAAATGGTAAATGGTTGGACAATGGACCCAGTAAATCAAACAGCTCAAAACCAAAATATCTAGCAATGCTGGGCGCTGGCGTAATAATACAATTTAAAAGTTCCATCCCAAACATTAATTTGATCGGACTTCTGTTTAAGGTACTAAATCTTTAAATCCCCCACAAAAGGATACACCGCAATCACTAATAACTCTCTTCAGGAATGGAATCTTCAACAAGATCTAAGGCAAATAATATAAAGTAAGTAAATTACGTATCACTGTCTACCTTAGGACCACGATTATATAACAACACGTTGAATTCATACAAGTTACTACAAAGTCTTCATGTTATGTAGCCTGAGTTTGGACAGGATATTACCCGCTTAAAATATTTCCATCACGATACATAATACTCAATAAATGTTCATAATTACTTACATGCTACGAATTTTGACTGATTAAATTTTGCCTGCCAATTTTTACGTTTGAGTTAATAAACTATGATGATTATATATGAATTTTACTTGATAGAGTGCTTATCTTGAAGTTAAATGTTTTTACAGGCTCTAATGATGTAGTTTTACAAAGATTTCAAGCCTTACGTTGTGTGTTTCCCTCGTGTCCAAAAGCATTATACTCAATAAATGTAATTGATTTGTAGTGTTGTAATTGGTTCATGTTACAGGATACGTATATTAATTCGTTTAAGGACAAAGGACGACATTTACTTAATAATCAAAAACTTGACGCTGAATATGTTTCATGGAAATAATAAAGAATACAGAAAATAACTTTGTACTTTACAACAAAAAATTATAAAAGTTCTAACAATTTGAGTGTAGCTCAAACCGCAGTAAAATAAAAAACTGCGATACGCATTTAGCAGTCACCGCATTTTTTCAACATTTCACTGCCTTTTTTGGTTCAGACCACAAATGTTTTTGATGCCAAATGAAGACGAGCTCAGCTATATGTCATGTTCACCTCTCTGACCCACAATGTCACATAATTAACGTAAATAATAAACGTAAATAATAAAGAGTATAGATACCTGAATCCTGATACATATCATATGTTTAGTTATATAACTATAAGATGGATTGATAACAATACGACGTATGATGTGTGATTTCATGCAGTACAACGCATGTTACTGACTTTCCCTCCCCTCCTGTATAATCATGTGATATGTAGAGAAATATAACGTATGTTAAGTTCTGTCACCTAGACATAACAAGCCAGGCCTGGGCCACCATTAAGTATGCTTTTTTTTACTCCTACTGCATGTGTTGGATCACGGAGCTGAAGACCTACACTCGAACCAATACTCGAATGAGTCCTCGATCCAGAAAGGGCCAAAGTATATGTTGGCCCCACCACTACACTCCATTTTGTGATTCCACCGCTGCCTCTACTCGTTGGGTTTGTGTCGGCCAAATGACCTGACAGGGAGTTCAGCGCACCGTTTCCACCTCAAAAAGAATGCATTTTTCGGAAAAAATAATTTTTATTGGTTGAGAGGCTATTACTCGACTATGGTGTATACCCCCTTAAGCCCCATATCGCGTATACGTATGGGCCCAAACAACCGCCCACACACACATGCATTCTGTACGTGGTCGATAAAGTGACCAGCTCGAGAACAAAGGTAACATAGGGCTGGAGCGCTAATCATACGATAATAGAAATGTGAGTGTGTGTGATGAGGAGTCATTGTGATTGACCAGATACCATATACTGAAGAAAAGTTCTGGTTAGCAAGCAAAAGAAGGTGCTGGAAAAAGTTAAATGGGTTTTAATCTAGTGATTGAGATGATTGTGCAGACTACCCAGTACTTACACAGTTTTACAATTTACCTAATTCAATAACACTCTAGAGATCCGATTGATAGCTGCACAGTGCACACATCGGATTGTGGGGTAATGAAAAAGCAGATGAGCTGGCCAAGACTGGCACAACCAGTGAATCCACTTTGAAGTGCCCAATTCCACAATCTTACATCAAACGCCTGATCAACGACTAAGTCACCAGACTAAATCAGGAAACATGGTTAACTGATGGTCCCAGACACACCAAACTGACACTCGGTCACAAACACATCAACATCATCAAAAATCTTAACACTACACTCAGCAACAACAGACAAAATTACAGAACTGCAGTGCACCTCATCACGGGACATTGTGGCCTAAACAAACACCTCCATACCATTCGCAAATCAAGCACCAGTGCTTGTCCTACATGTATGTGCGGCGACGGAGAGGAGATTGTCTAACACTTTCTAGGACAGTGTCCGGCTATTGCCCAAATAAGAGGTCAATATTTCCAGGACTATTACCTCTCCGTCAATGACATATTCGACAACCAACACATCTCCACTATTGTCAACTTTGCAAACCGCACCAAACGCTTAATTGTGCCAGAGGAGCTGGACCAGACTGGTGTGACATAGCTGGTAATTCACACGTCGTCTTCCACACCCTCTTCCACACCCAGCTTTCACTTAAGCGTTCATACACGACACATCTTACAACACTTACCATCATCATACATTACACATTCTGATTCCTCCGGCATCCTCCCATAGGACTAACATACCCCAGAGGTAGGCAAAGCATCCACATGCTATGTTAAAGCAACGTTATTTATATATGTGGAGCGCAGCACTTAATTTTGTTTCACTGACTGCTGGAAAGAAAACCTCTCTAACCAGTGCGCAGATCACACAACAGTGGATGAGAAACAACCGAATTTTAATTCTGAATGTCAAACGTGTAAATCAATGATCAATCATCATCGAAAGTGCACGATTTAACCATTCTATTGAATTCCCTTTTTCCCACGAATCTCTGTATGTGATAGGTGTATGGGAAAAATGTAATAAATTTCAAAGAATTTGGCAGCCGTGACTCGCGTAAATGAATTTGTTGAATTTAAATTAAGTTACGGAATGTTGAGGTTAGTGGGTTAACTTTAACAAAGAGAAGTAACAGTCTCAAACTCACCGCTTGCATTTGGCTCGGTATTTGGCGTTTCTGATGTGCTTTCCAATCATCTTCCGTATTATTGAGTCAGCCTCAACGGATATCTTTAATTCAGGCAGAGCTTTGTAAATCTGACCGAGAAATGAGTGAGCTCCATTTATCATTGTTGTGATAGTAAAGATATTACAGTCACACACAAAGAAAACCTCGTTTCAGCTTAAGATAACAAAGAACCTACGAGGTTAAGAACACTGCAACTGGCGTCGTCCTTCATCCCTGTTGGTTTCATTGACAAACAGTATTCTCTGATCTTGTCCTGAAATAAACCACTTTTATGTGGAAAACGTTTAAATGGATCTATCTAGTTATAACCTAATGTAATTGTAACTTTCGTGTGATGTGAGATAACAATCATGGTGAACATAAGATACATGAACACAGCAATAACAAGTGCCAATTGTAATGTATCTTGTATCCCTGATGATTGCTATCTTATACATCAATGTTATAGTCGGACGTACACAATATAAATTGTAACACTTTGTAGAGCCTAATCTGCTCTGTATCTATTATATAAGAGCACTTTGTCAGAAACCCGCAGATTAATAAGTGACTATGGATAGAGATAATGAATAATTGTAGTTGGATTCTACTTTTTGGAGGAAAACGCTCTCTAACAGGTTATTCATTCTGACTTAAATTTTTAAACTTTGAGAACCTTTAGAAACCTTTAAAACTTTGTAGTTTGGTGATCCCCTGACCAAATACAGCTGTGAAATGTAATCATTGACAGTAATCTTTATCTCCGATACAAAGTTATTGATATTAAGATTGCATCCTGGCTGATTTCCCTCATAGAGAACAAGATCACCATTAGATTGAATGTTAGGGTACATACACCTCCTCTTGTTGGATGACAAAAGTAATTCAGGTGAAGTGTTCAGGCCACAGCCAAAAAGAGTTGCTTCGACAGAAAGAGCCGCGGTAGTACCTTCCTTTCTTTTATCCTGGGTTAGGATATTATTCACAACAGCAGCCATTTCAGTCATTCGCAGATAACATCACCTATATTTGCTGTAATAAAGTAATAAAATAATTAGTGATTATGATTTTAGTGTGAGATGTAAAACAACCCCATAACATATGTAAATGCACGGATTTAGTGTCAATGCAATCACCTGATCCCACTAGATTCTGCACTTAGTATATCTAGTCTAGTGTCATGACCAAAATTTAACGGAAAATCTATGTATTAAGATCACTTTCGAGGAACCTCAACAGACACTACTCTTATGCTATCGATTTTCAATTATGAGCACTGAAAATCGAGTCTAAAATTTATCTTCTTCTACATTTTTTGAGCGATCACAAGTTTTTAAGGCCTATCTCAAAATTCTGGCCCAAAAATCTCTTTTGAATGATCCCTAGAACATATCCTGAAAGTTTCCGGGTGATCAGATTTTGAATAGGGTGGGCAACAATTGACCCCCGAAAATTGACCCCCGAAAATTGACCCCCCCCCTGGCAATATAATTTAATACAATTATTTGTATTTTGGTCTGTACGAAGTAAATAAACTGAGTTAAGGAGACAACAAATTTTTTCAAGAAAACAGGGGTAAGAAGGTACTAGTAATGGATAAGTGTATTCCCATGTAATGGTTACATTATAATATTATAACCATACAACGGTTATATTCTGATAATACTGACACATGCTAAAATATTCTGTCACATAATCGGGACGCATGATACTGTTAATAAATGGGGGGTCAATTGTCGGGGGTCAATTGTCGGGGGTCAATTGTCGGGGGGTCAATTGTTGTACTAAGCCCTAGATTTCGCGACAATTGACCCCAGTGTAATTACATAGGGGGTCAATTGTCAGGGGGTCAATTGTCGGGGGGCCAATTGTCGGGGGGTCAATCGTTGCGGTACCTTTGAATAATTCCATGTAATGAGAGAAAAACCAATGTATTTATAAAGAACCTCTAAATCTGTAAATAGAGTAGCAAAACTATTCCATGTCTCCTTAAGATATAAGAAATGGCTATCATATAATTACGAGGAACAGCAATATGAATTCTGATAACCTCAAATAGGAAATAAAATAGGAGATCATGTTATTATGAAGAAAAAAAATGTATAGCTCATTTTCCTTCTTGTCGCTCATTCCATAGTTGTCCATTTTCGCAAAAAATTGATCATGACGACAACCCAATATTATTATGAGTACAGTAACAAAACTGCTTATGGCATTAATAGTGATGCTATACGGTACACTTGGGCCGGATACTATCTATTCGTCATTGCATCATCTTTCATAGGAGACATAACGATTCTCATAGCATCCATAAAGTACAAGGCATTTAAACTTCATCGAGTCATCATTGTCATCATCCAGCACATGGCATTCTGTGACCTGATTATATCTGCTACCAGTGTTCTCCCAAGGATGGTCGCTGTCATCTCTGATAAGTGGGTAATAGGAAACTTCTTCTGCTACTGGTACGCCTATGCAACGTACTATTCCAACCAGACAAGTGCGTTTCTCATCTGTACCATGACAACCAGCAAGCTGCTCCTCCTGAAATATCCCCTCCAATTTGGAACAACCACTTTGAAGAAAGCTCACTTGGTCTGCGTGGCAAGTTGGTTGGCAGCTTTTGCCTTGCCTGTGACACTCTTTCTTGTAGATAAAGATGATGTTTCCTTTTCGTATAGGGGCTATGAATGTGACTATGGTTTCTCATCGGAGATTTGGCTCTATCTGAGGCCTTTTACTGCAGTGCTATTTGGATTTATTCCAACATGCCTGGTTGTATCAACCACCTTTTGTTTGCTGATTAAAGCCAAAAAAGTCGTTTCCCGGAGCAGGGAAAGTTTGAAGTGGCAGGGGATCGTGACAACTGTCCTTACGGCCACAGTCTTCTGTTTGTCTGTCCTACCATTAATTGTTTACCGTGTTGGGGAATCCATCGTTATCGTAGATGACAAGAGCAAGAGTTCATTCTACACCACGTTTTTTAGAGTTGTAATCTCGTTCCTGTCCTTAAACACCATCAGCAACTTCTACATCTATAGTCTGACCGTGTATAGCTTCAGAGCATTTATCCGGTCGAAGATGCAGCTGCCTTATCAGTACATTACCAATGTGGAAGCTAGTCATGGTAATTAAATATTGGTATATAAACAGTTACACTGCTGACATCTTTATCAACCTTATTGTCTACATAGCAGCATTCTAATTGAATAGCTACGGAATTTTACATTGACAACGAGGTTTTGTACAGTTATTTTTTTCAGGAGGAAGGGCGAGTGGCACAGCAAGCACAGACGCTTACACTGGAAACGTGAATGAAGATATTCAACAAACACCAGTTTGATAAAAGATAAAAATGTTTCGACAGTATACAGGTAATTTCAGCATTCAGCAATGGTAATTGTCTAGCTATAAGGATAGACACCCTCGAAAAATGAATAAACCAATACAATAGATTAAATGTTATTAAAATGGTACAACACCAGTTCGATTGTGATACGGTGACGGGTGATCCAGAACATTATTAGAGATATATTATTAATTATATATATGATATCGCAATACCATATTTGAAGAGACTAGGACTGAGGACAATATACGACATTTTATTTTCTGTGATGTGAACGTTTGATATCTGGAATGGTTGTAAAGAATTTTAAGTTAATGACAAAAAATGAAGGGCAAAATGTAGCTCATTGTTCCTACATAAACTACTCCACGGCTGTTCAAACCTTACCAATGTTTCGTGAACACTTTGTTGATGTTTTCATTGTTATCCTAAGTTGAATAATTAAGGCTCTGTTATACTGTAGAAATTATGGATTTTTTGTCAAGTTTTAAATATAAATAGATATATTCTCGATAGTATTAGCTAAATAAATAGTATCTGGAGAGAAGATTTGTAGGATACAATACTTGAGTAGGAACAGTGTGCCTCGTGACGTGTAAAGCTGTAGGTTCTTCGCACGACAATGGCAATTCGGTAATGTAGCTTCGCACGGTTAAGGCACGGTTAAGGCACGGTTAAAGAAGCACAGTTAAGGCACGGTTAAAGCACGGTTAAGGCACGGTTAAAGCACGGTTAAAGCACAGTTAAGGCACCGTTAAGGCACGGTTAAGGAACGGTTAAAGCACAGTTAAGGCACGGTTGAGGCACGGTCACTTAAGGGGGCAGGGGGGTCTTCATGGAAATTTTCTCAAAATCGACTCTTTAGTTGTTTCTTATAGAGGGGAGTAATATCTATCAGATGCTTTTGATCCCGTGGAAAAATATCGTTCCTATCCGAAATTATTGCCGGTCAAAGGTCAGCGCGTGTGTGTAATTTGATCGCATGCCCTGAAAATCGAGTCTAAAAATCTATCTTCTCCTGCATTTTGCTGCACCTTGCTGCGTGCTGACACCACCCTCACACCTTTTTTTTTTATCTAGACACTTATTTTACTTCGGTGTATTCCAACAGCCACAATGTTACACAAGTGCAACCAGCCAATTACAGGAAGCCGAAGGATCTTTTTTGGCCAGTGACGGTTAAGGTAGTGTGTACCATACTTTCTTCGTCCGAGACTTTGCTGCAATGTGCAGCTCCTCATTTAACCCTCACACCCGATTTCTCGAGTATTCGGCTGAGTAGACCGGGGGGCTGCATAGACCACTCATGATCCTTAGCTGAACGTCGACGACGCTCACCCCACGACCAGGCAGTCAGTGGGTTTCGAACTCGCAACCTAACGATTGTAAGACAGGCGTTCTAACCAACTGCGCTACCTGGCCTATCAATTCATGCAAACTTTTAATCCCATCTTTTCATTGTACACTCTTAAAAATACTACAACTTTACTCACCATGGTAACTCGAAGAGGAACTCGACACTCTGCTGCTGACGGATTCCCGAAAATCGGGATTCCCGAAAATCGGGATTCCCGAACATTAGAAGTTTGTTAAAACAAATGGTGCCAATCCTGGAGTTCGACTACGAGTTTCATAAAAGTGTACTTGAAGCAGTATGGAGTGTCAATTGCAATTTTGATTAGAACTTTTAATTAGAATCGTTTTTAGTTTTAGATTAGTTCAAAACTTCAAGGATTGTAACTTGATACAGGATTTCATTTGAGAGACTGTAACCTGAAGTGAAAATCTCACAAGTCAGAAACCGTGCCTGAAGTGTCTGTTTATTCACTGTGCCATACCTCAGCTTTGTTCCCTACCCGTGCCTCAACCGTGCCTTAGTTAACCACTTGTATGTTAATAGGTTATATTTCCCCAACCGTGCCTTAACCGTGCGTTAATCGTGCCTTAAGGGGGCATACACCAAACCTGTCCAACCCAAATGACCTCATAGGCAGTTCAGTGACCATCTAGCGCACTGTTTCCACACAAAAAAAAATTATTTTGAGAATACCTATTTTCGTAATCGAGCATTTCCTGGTTAGAGTGGAATTTTCGGAAAAACACAATTTCTTTCGTGGAGAGGCTATAAGTTAATCATTTCTTGAGGTATCGGGTTGAAATTTTGCTCGCCGTCTATTCACATCTATTTCAAGGTGTGTGTAAAATCTTCATATCGTATCTAAAAAGGCTGGTGTGTTATAAATTTGTAAAGTCAAAAAGCTGAAATTGTCCTTTTCAGGCTTATTTTAACCAAAAAGTCAGTCAGGGAAGATCGGATTGTTTTGATGCTTGACATGAAATTGTTCTCTGAATTCTGGCGCAGTTTTTGATGACCTAAAATACGTGTTTACTCATTTTTCTTCAGATCTATTGGACCACAACAAATTTAGGCACATTTTTCGTTTTTCATATTTACTGATTTTTCTAAAATTTTGATAGGGATGTGCTAGTGACTTTTTGAAGAGTGCAAAATAACCGCAACTAGCACATTTATATATGAGTTATGAACAAAAAAACACCCTAAAATGCTTCCCTTTGAAGATATGGGAGAAAATGTGATTTTTGGCTTTGCAGATTAAAAATGACTTTGTTTACAATAACTTCAAAGGGAAGCACTTTAGGGTTTGTGCGTTAACTGTGCCTTAA